TATATATATATATACATATAGTCTTGCTGGCGTGCATGAGCTTATTTCTGTACAATATCGTGACATATACTTCACATACCTGTTTACTAAACGCCATGTTCACAAAGGACGGTACGTTAATCCTAGAATTGAGCATCGCATCAGCTGATGGGAGAACAACGCCGTTGTGGTTTGATGATTCAGATGTGCCAATTTTATCTTCTGCGTCTATCAACTCGTTAGTGTCAGCTTTCGCTGCGTGCTCTACATGCTGTTCGGTTTCGCTTTCGCTTTCGCTTCCGTCCTTTTTATTTGCCTTGCTCATGTTCCGTGTTTCATCGTCGCTGGAGCTCAGTTCACTTCCTGCTATGTCAGCCCAGTCCATTCTTGAAGTAATCAATACGTAACTAATATTAGAAGTAGTCTATGTATTTATATCCAAGCTAGGCCAAAGATGTATGGAGATGAATAGTATTATGCTGTTGACTATACACATACGAGTTGTGTCTATATATGTACTATAGTTATACAGCTATATTTGTGTTTAGTATATAACGGGACTAATAATCAGGTTATACTCTGCCCGGTATATTATATAAATACAATATCATTGAAAAAGTTGAACACCTCAAGACCTAAGAGTCCCAAGACGCAAGAATCAGACCAGACACGTCCCAGCCGAGAAATCACGCCACGATCCCCTTTCTCTCTCGCTCCATAAATTGAAGCCACAGGTTGACGGACCACACTATGACAATGTATAAATGCACTCCATATTGAATTTCGCGGTTCGCTTTATTTCAAAACAATACCACTCTTTATTACAGCCCAAAGGATCCAAGGGCTGATATCGAATTCGCCTTGCGACCTACTCTGTCCAAATTTATCCAGCGTAGGTACAAGTATAATTAAAAGTACAAGTATGGCCAGCCAAATGCAGGCTCAGGTGGATGAACTACTAGCCCAAGTAGCCGAATTGGAGAAGACGGGTCTAAAGCTCTATGACGGCCTGTATGTGTATCGTATTTTTATGGTATATGTATCTTATTTCCTTTGTTTTTTGCTCGTGTTTCAATTTGGTTCTAACTAACCTGTGAGAACAATTGGATGGCATATGTGTGCATTTATGAGCGATTAGACTACCAAGATACCTTTAGATGCGATAGTCTATACACACAAATGTAATGCCCCCCTGTAGTATATATACATATATATATAGATACATATACACACACACATACTC